ATGACAGAAGAGAAATCTGATGTTTCGAACTTAATGCTTTTTAAATTCTGTTGTATTACTCTCTCATTAGTTTCCTTCTAAACCTACATTTAGAATATGATATCTGTTCGTTCGAACTAAATGTTAATATAAGCTAAAGGGCACAATTTAACATTGTTTCCTGTTCATTTTGCTTATTGCATGCTTACAATGTATACCTTTTTTCTTTTCTTTTTTAATTGTGCACCGACTATTTGATAAAATTCCTCATTGCAATCTTAGTTTCATCATCTTTCTTTGTAGATTTTGGTTACTACACTAGAGTTCAATAATTTGATACATAGGCATAACAAACCCATTATGAGCTTATAGTTATCAGATTGGCACCATACAAATTTAATTATGATCACAAATTTTCAGTTTGTGTATAACTCGTTAGATTTGTTATACAAAGAGCTTGCTTTGTTGCTTCTCACTCTGAGAAGGCTTTGAAATTTTCTTTTCAAGATCCTAATTGGGTGTTCATCATGCTGAAACTTATATAAATTTGGTTCATATTTCAAGTACATTATAGGACACGCACACTACTTGCTTTAATATATATCTGGTTTTGATGGTTCACATGTAGTAGACCATCAGAAACAAAGATGGTATGATTGAGAAAAAGATGGCAGATTTGCTTTCTTGCATCTTCCTGGCACTTGAGATTATATTCAGTCCTGTAAAACCTTATTTTAAATATAAATAAAATATAAACATTTATATTATTTTGATGAATCTCCTAAACCTGCTTTTTAAATAGGATACACACACACTACTTGCTTCTCTTTTTTTTTTTTTCTTTTTTTTTGAGTTTCTTTTCTCTTAAACTAATAATTAGTTCTACTTTTATCTAAAAAAATATTATGAAATCTTATTTTAAATATAAATAAAATATAAACATTTATATTATTAAATTTAATAATTTATTATTTTACTAATTCTTTGAAATCATAATGGTAATTTTAAGACTGGCCCAAAACTTTAATGCATAATCCATCTCTATACAAGCCTACGCAGCCCAGTTCTGTCCAATAGGGTGGGCCAAGCACTTATTTTTATTCAAGTAGACGAGCCTAGAGATAATTGTCATAGTTTAATGACATTTTCTCTACTTCTTAAAGTAAAATGAATGTAATTTAAATTTTAAGTTTTAATTTATATTTTAAATGTGTTAAAATATAATTTAAATACATTAAAATTAAAAATAATGATCTTAAAATTTAGAATAAATGTGTTAAAATTAGACTGTTATGGCCCTATACCAAAGAATCTAAATGCATACTCCACATATGAATAGTGCTTACACATCTCTTTCATAGAACTTACATAACTTCTCTTTCTTTATTCACAGAATTCTTTATTGAAGCCCAAGTTTTATTTGATTTAATAAAGTGAGGCTCATCATTAATGGAATTAGTAATAACCACACACTATTATGATTAAAAATATAAGTACAGAGAAAAAAATTAGTTAAATATTTTTAAATGGAATGGAAAATACATGAAATTTGTGTCTCAGAAGTTGCATCAATGCTTCCTAAACAAAATTTGGAGATTTTTTCAGAAAATATTTTTCAGAGGAGCAGATTATTCTGCAGAAATATTTCCATTATGTGAAACCAGAGTATAAGTCATGAATTGGATCAATCTTCAAACTAGCATAAAGAGAGAATATCAACCAAATAGCTAGGCAAATACTGCTAATGAACCTAGAAGATGCCATTGCTTTCTGATTTTATTTTTTTATCATTCTTGTCATAGTCTCGTGACTATTGACAAATTACTTCAAATCATAATTTGCCGTATCGGCCGATATGCGACATATCGCTCAATTTATAATTTTTTTTCAAAGTTCAATACCGTTACAAACTTTCATAAACTAACAAATTCGGCCAATTTATATCAATATTCACCTAAATCCCTTACACTGCAACCTGTACTTCAAATCCTCCCAATGTGAAATAAAATTGTGAATTGGAATCAAAACCGACACGTGGTCGCATTGAATCATGATCTTGATCATTATCTTCTTCCCCAGGCCAACTGGAGCTCTTGGGTTGAACTAACATCAGTCCCCCACCATAACCACATTATAATTTGAAGGATGTGCACATTATTGCCATTTGAGTGTCAAATATTGTTCACAATTATTGTAAGTAATGTGTCCTGTGAATGAGAGAAGTTACAGCTATGGCTTCTAAAAATAGATTAAAAGACAAAGAATCCCATTCCAATAAACTAAGCTTTTTAACTAAAATGGTATTTTGTCCTTCCAACAAATGGGATGACATCAATAAAAGATGCAAAAACTTTTTCAAACATGACAAAGGGAGTAGTTTTGACTGATTCTTTTTGTGTTTCTTATGATTGAAGAGATGGTATTTTCCAACCACCTCTTGCAGTTGGCTTTGATTTAATAATTTCTGTGTTTAATAAAAGGATAACGATATAAAGTCTGAAATCATTTTTCCATCACAATAAGCATAAAAATTTGAATAGAGATCAGTAACGTAAAAAAAAAATTAAAAAATAAAAAAGTAATATAAAAAAAAAAAAATTATACAGAAACGTAATTGATTGTCACGTATTCAGTCAGTTTAAGAAAAACAATTTATTTATCATTTTTTTTAATAAAATACTTTCTCAACTTGCAAGGGAGAATATGTAAAAGCCTCTTTTATTTAATCAAAGTGAAAAGTTCTCGTTGCATCTGTCATCTGTCTGTTCATAGCCTCATCCCTCCACCTTATCCCCCACTTTCCAAGCTAGTTTAGTGGCTTTTTAGTCTCTTCCCCTTGAAAAGGGCTCACTTCAAATAAAGATACAAACCATTAAGTCCAAGTGTCAAAAATCCATATCTAATCATTTTATACACCAACTCTCTAGAAAGAATATACCCTCCTGTTGAAGGGGTCCAGTAAAAAACTCTCTCTCTCTCATGTTTTTCAGAGCATTGTTGACACTAATATTATTTGAACTTTAAGGGTTAAAGTTGCAGACTCTTTTGTTAGCCTTTTGAGTCTCAGTCCCAAAATTATAAAGGGCTTGGGAAAACAAAATCAACATTGGGAGAACAATTTTATGATTCGATGTGGGAATTGGATCCTCTCCGGTACATTGCACTATGCTGCAAGACACATAATTTTTCGTCTAAAATAATATATTAAAATACGATTTAATTGTGTTGGCAACGTATAACACATTACAATAGAAAAATTATTACTATACAACAAAGGATCTGGACACATTGAAGTAGGCATCATTTGTCTTCGACCTCATTGCCAAGTATTTAAAAAAATTCAGAAATACTCATATACTCGACACCACACTAATCAAGTCCCAAAATACCACAAATTGTAAATGTTTTACATAGAAAGTAACTTGAGAGATTCTGGGAGAAGATGAAGAAAAGGCCTGGCCTTGAAAATAAATTATGTTTTCCTCATGGGGAATGATTGTTTTCCAGGGCATTTAATTTTTTTTAGAAATGCTCATATACTTGACACCCCCACTAATCAAGCCCCAAAATCCCACAAATTGTAAATGTTTTACACAGAATCTATGAACACAAGAAACATAGAAGGATGATTGCCCATGAGAAACACCCAGAGTAGAATCATTCCCCGTAAGGAACACATAATTTATTTTCTCCCGAAATCTCTCAAGTTATTTTTACATAAAATATTTTTCAGGTCATTATTCGGTACTAATCCCGTCTAATTTTTACAATATTTAACATATTTTTTACGTCATTATCTAGTGCTAGTCCCGACTTGGAGGGGCCGTTAGGAGGAGGAAAAGACGGGAGACTAATCTAATTTTTCACATTATTTTGTAACAAAGTGACTGTCTTCAGACTCGAGGCAGTGTCCAAACACTTGTTTTATATGCATATGCATACACACGTATATAAATAAATATATATATATATAAGACCGTAACACACTACAGATTCATTTTGAACGGTCAAATGTCAAGTCCAGTTCGTTTTGGTTCTTATCCATGACCAAAGAGTGCATCTAGGTTAGAGCCATCAAAAATTCCATATGGTGGGCCCATTCGCATTTAGTTGTGTAGAATGCTGACTTTACGCAAATATCACAAGTTTATCCTAAAATGGGGTGATAAAAGTTGACACAGTTCGTCAATATGACTTGAACGTGATACAAGATAAATGAATTTGAGTTAATCTTAAATGGATTCGGATCATAAACAGGTTGACACGAATAACCCGTTTAATTAATCGTGTCGTATTTGGATTGAAGGGTTCAACCTGTATAACTCGTTTAACTATATACGTCGTAAATAAATTTCTATTTAAATTCTAAATTAAATTACTATATAAACTTGTGTCTTATCATTTAATCTTTGTAAAATATAAATTATTTAACAATTTGGTTAATTAAAATATATATTTTTATAGTATTTATTATTTTATTGAGTATTATTAATAATTTAAATAATATAATTTATTATTATTATTATTAATTTTTTTTTGTAAATATGTCATAAACGAGTTACACGTGTAACTCGTTTAATAAACAAGTCGAATTAAAATTGAGAGTTCTTAACACGATTATTAAACGTATAACCCGTTTAATAAACAGGTCAGATTAGTGTTAAGGTCAGATTAGTGTTAAGAGTTCTTGACACAATTATTAAATGAGTGATGTTTAAATTGAACTGTTTAGTATAATATTCTTAAATTGACACGACACGATTATGACCTGAAAACACAAATTACCACCCAAACAAAACAGTACGACCAAATGACTAATCATAAAAGTAAAATTCCATTTGGGTTGTATCGAGAAGGGCAAAAATCACGTGAGCAATACCATTCACAAAAAAATAATAATAATAAATAAATAAAAATAAAATTCAAAATCACGTGGACAAACTCTCTGTTGGGGTTTACTTTTCTTAGTTTGAGTAGTCTCTTTAGCCGTAGACAGAGCCTCGTTGGGGCTTATAAACCGTGATTGGCTTTAGTATCTATGTATCTATATATATATATATATATCACTTCCACTGCTTTAGCTTGAACAGAAGACATAAACAAACTTACCACAAAACTTTCTTCTTCCCTCCGTTTCTTGTTTTATCAATGAGTAGTACAACAACTCAAGTTGATACAAACAGGTTGAGCAATTCTAGTGAAGATGAGTTTGAGCTAAGAAGAGGACCATGGACTCTCGAAGAAGACACACTTCTTGCCCAATACATTGCACTTCACGGTGAGGGTCGTTGGAATTTGTTAGCCAAATGTGCAGGTAATTATAAGGCCGTGACATTTACTGATTTACATGAGAAGATGATAATTATATCCACCGTCTCATCATCTTCTTCATTTTCTATACCTTTAATTTTTGCAGGACTAAGGAGAACCGGGAAAAGTTGCAGATTGAGATGGCTGAATTATCTAAAACCAGACATCAAACGCGGAAACCTTACCCTACAAGAACAGCTTCTAATCCTTGAACTCCATACCAAGTGGGGTAACAGGTGTGTACTTAATTAATACCTATACTATACAATTTTTTTTTTTTTTTATTTATTTTATTTACAGTATGACATATTAGGAAATTTAATTTTGTGGACTACAGGTGGTCAAAAATTGCACAACATCTACCGGGAAGAACTGACAATGAAATCAAGAACTACTGGAGAACGAGGGTGCAGAAACAGGCGCGGCAACTCAAGATTGATTCGAACAGCAAGAGGTTCCTCGAAGCGATTCGGTGTTTTTGGATGCCTAGATTGATTGAGAAGATGGAGCAAGCTTCAACATCATCACCATCTTCTTCTTCCACTACTTCAACCATAGAAACTCAATATTGTGCAATTACTTCTTTACCACCCGACCTACAGCCCCCCTTGGCATCAGCTTCTGTCCAACCAAACACACAGTTGGACAGTTTCGACCATTCCAATGAAAATTCAAGTCCAATGACCAACACATCATGCCTTTATTCATCACATAACATGAGAATGCCAGAATTGGCTGAAATATTGGAACACCAAACTTACCCTGCTCATGCCTTTGCCAACACTGCCAACAACAACAATTCACTTCTAAGTGATTGTTACTATGACATGGAGGGTCCCAACCTGCCTGCCACATCAGCTGTCGGGACCTATGACACTCAGTTCTCGGATTGCCAGGTGGCGGAAAGCAATTGGATAGGCGACGAAGTGGCAGATACATTATGGAGCATGGATGGATTGTGGCAGTTTAGGAATTAAGCCAGAGTAGATGGGTATCTGGGGAGGCCTTGTTAGTGATCTACATATGACTTTGCAATAATGATGTAATTAGTCTATGACATGGATGACCTCATGCTCTGGATCTTTATACTAATAGGACAGAGAATAGTAATCAATTATGCATTTTGAAGTTGATTAGAGTTGAAAAGTAGTATATATATATATATATATATATATATATATATATATATATATATATATTTAAAGTTGTTGGTATTTTGGATTAGCAAACAGATTAAATTTGTGATTAGTAGCTTGGAAAGTTAGTTGATGAAGACAGAATGACCCCTGCAAGACTTCAACTAGTGATGGACATCTGTATCTTTCATCTTTATTTTGATAACTATGTTGTGGTGCATTATCTACAGAGCTGCAATTATTTGTTTATTGACTTCTCAGATGCTAACCAAAAGATCAAAGGTGTAGCCAATTCAAGGACTTGGTGGAAGTGACAAGCAAAAGGATTGAAGTGTAGTCTATTCCATCTAGCTGTGGGGACAGCATTCATCTAATTGTCATATGCGTGTGTGTGTGTGTGTGTGTGTGTGTGAGAGAGAGAGAGAGAGAGAGAGAGGTGACAACTTCAGGGCCCAAACCATTGTCTTTTGACATGATAACATTACAATGTTAGAGATTCAGCTTCAATATACTGCTGTAGATAAGAAATGAAGGTCAGAAGGAAGAGGATTGGATCTTTTTTACTTTAAAAATTTCTTGCAATAATTCTGGCGTGACATCTGAGAAAGAGAAGTGCCATTAGGGGTTCAAATATCACCGTTGTTAATCAGAAAACGTTTCGAATTTTCTAAACAACACATAAAAGACTTTGAATTGGCTAAATAATTCTGGCATGACATCTGAGAGGGAGAAGTGCCATTAGGGGTTCAAAAGCATGATATAAAATTCCATTCCCACTAAGAGATTATCAGCACCTGTCGATCTTCATAATTCCAACCTTCCAAGACCTGCCTTCAAGCAAGGGACTGTATTAACATAACATTAACATAGAACCTACTTGTTATGATCTTCTAAGTAACTCATAATTACTAATTTAGTTTTCCTCATGATTTCAACAATTTTCTTTTTCTTTTTGGATATTTCCAGGAAGCCAGTTCAATGATCTCTTCCATATCCCACCCCAACCATGACGACGACAACGACGACGAAGAAAAAAAAATAGAGACCTTTGTTCATGTGCATACTAATCTTTCACAGCTAACCTGGTCAATGGTGGCTTATTTTAGGTGGAACAACTTGTCGGCCAGGATTAGATATGTATTTAATTTCGGCTTAATTAACGGAGACTGTAATAGGGAAGAAAGCTATCGTGAACGTGCATGGACACAATCTGAGATGAACATGACAGCAACTGAGTGGAAGACTAAGTCATCGAAAAAAAAAATGAACAAGAAAGGGTTGACTGTTTTTACTGGTTTAATTAGTATTTCATTCTTAAGTGACCTATCATTTTCACTACCTAATGGAATTCAGAACCAATTCATTACCTTTGCCAAATGAAGTGCAAAACACTATTTACTTCTCATTTTCACTATTTCGACAAGGGTTGACACTGCTGTTTTTTTTTTTTTTTTTTCTCAGTTGGTACTCACACACACTCGTCTCTTCTGAGACTTGAACTCCTAACCTCTTTTTGGAAAGTAAGAGGCTGATACCGCTAGACCACTGACTCGTTACTGAGTTAACACTCTTTAGATTACACTTTAACACTAGAAACAGTTCATGATGCATGATCTAAGAATCAATACCTCAAATTGATAACTGAGGTGAATATCCCTTATTCGGAGGATTCAAATCCAAGTAGGGATAGATAGGGCAGAAGTAAAAGTCATCAGATGATAAAGGGTTTTAAAGTAAGACCAAACTCGTTCATTGAATGAAAAACGATAATTATGACAATGGCTACTGTCGCTATCACAACTCTATTCGTATTTGTTCTGATGGCATTTCGAACTCCTAGTCACATCAAATAGTTAATCCTTGAAAAAGAAGCACCTTGGCATATGACAAAGGAGGCTAGGTTTTCATGTGAAATTGGAATTTTTTAAAGCAAGATACTTCCCCCATTTCGACATTCAATCTATTCATCCTTTCATTGTCACATAAAAAACGTGAAGAGACTAAACTCTTTCATCAATAAGGGCTTTACTTTCCATTCTTTGAATCGAAGGAGTTCTTAGCCTCTGTTATTGGTCCTTTAAGCCCCTAAGATCTTGGGGCCCTTTCAAAGAAAATGCTGCATGAATTGTCCCTTTCCCTTGGTGGTAGGGTCCCTGAAATGAAAGGCACCTTATCACCCTATAAACGAATCGTTCTTATTTTCTTCCAGGTACTTCAATGCTAGTTTTCTTGGGACTTCACAACCAATCATATTTATGGAAGACAGGTTTACGTTTGATCGAAACTACAGGTTTACCTTTGATCCAAACTATCAACCTCGTTTTCCAAGTTTAGAAACTTTACCAGGAAATTTAGATTACTTTGGTTTGGTGAAAGGGGAAACAAAGTACCGGTAGAGTGGTTTGCTAAGTCATACAGAACAGAAACGGGAGTAAGAACGAATTCGAAAACAGATGAAAGCGAAAAAATCTAAGTTAGAGCGTGATACTTTGGCCGTTTTATTCTACGATAATACCATCTAAATTAGATGACGAGTAACAACTGTTAGTTAAGAATAATTTTGCAGTGCCCGAATCGATTTTTTGGACTCGTAGCTTGTCATAATGACATGGGGTCCAATATAACCAAATCAAATCTTTAGTAAAATATATATATATATATATATATATATATATATATATATATAATATTATAAAACCTATCCTAACCCTATTAATTGTTAAATATAAATTTTCTTTAGATACTTTATGGGGGAAAAAACATCTTTCGGACTTGCTTGTTATTATGCATATATGTTATTCTGCATAAAACACCACTAGCCTGTCTACATTTTGTCCAACCTGATCCAATTTTACTAATTATATCATCATTTAGCTCGTGTTTAAAAACATACTCAATGCAAAACACATTTATTTTTAAATAATCCTATACAGTATCAACTAAAAACTTGGTTGTCTTAAACATAAAGAACTAAAGGTGATTTGCCAAGGTCTCGTGGGTCACTTTTCTAACCATCTTGGGTCAGTTCTTGGTCTATAACATTGTCCATCTGTTAATCCACAATATATCCAAAAGCCCGTTTAAGCAAAATCTGGCCTTCTTCACTGAACAGCCAATTGTTTGTTGATGTGTTCCTCTTCTATTCCCACCTAACAGTGTTTCTTTTTTGAAACATTTAAGAGTGCGAAAGAAAATGAATAAATAAACATGTAAAAAAGTATCATTTTTCATTTGATTATCCACATGTATGATAGTACAAAATCTCTAACACAGCTTCCTGTTGACCATACGATGCTACTTCTATATTTTTCTAGCAAGTATTTGAATATTCCATAAACATATCAACTATTCAGAAACTTAAAATGATGTTCTTTCTGCCCCTCCTCATCAGGCTATCATTTGTAGTGCAAGGAACTCACTTCCCGCCTTTGCCGTAGCTATCTCGGAGTGTGACAATCCGGTTGAAGACGAGTTTTTCAGGTGTGGAGTCCTTATCGACAACAAAGTAACCTGGAATTGTAAATTGAAGATCTAAATGATTAAACTGCAAATCAAAATCATCATACAAAATATTACTATTTAAGTGTAAATAAGTCAAATTGGCAAAGGCAAAGACACAGAAATTGCAAAGGTCAAAAGAATAAAACCATTTCACCAAAAAAATCATGAGATCTTATATAGTTTTCCTGAATAGGCTATACTTCTAAACTCTAGGCTCTTGATAAGAATTGAATCTTGACCCTAACTCCGCCTTTAGATGTCTTGCATCACACATCTATTATTGTTGTGCTACAATGTTTAGGCCAAACTCCAAGTTTTTACTTTTGATAAATTAAAAACAACTATAACTTGAAGAACATCCCAAAAGGCCAAAATTGATAGGTAACAAGGATGCCAAAATCAAAAACTTGAAACTTCATTTTGACGACGACTTAGTGAAACTTTAATTTATTAGTTATTATTTTTCAGAATTTTAATTGGGGGAACAAAAACCAGTCGACAGAAAAAGAATGTAGAGTTTGTCAACATTGGTGGGTGGAGGTTCACGAATAAATCATATCTACTGAGTAAATTTCGAACCAATTCCAGCCCCTGGTAAATTGAAAAACCAAAGAAAAAATAATTAGAATGTTCAGGAAACCTACCAAGCCTTTCAAACTGAAATCTGTCTCCAACCGTAGCATTTTTAAGTGAGGGTACGGCATATGCATCCGATATCAACACTTTGGAATGTGGGTTCAAATCACCAAGCCAATCATCCAGCTCCGCAGGATTCTGATTGCGATAACGACAAAAATGTAACATTTCACAATACTCAGAGTAAATAAATGAGAGACAAAGGAAACCTCATGAAAAGAATCATTTCCAACCTCAGAAAGGAAAAGTTTGTCAAACAATCTGACTTCCACCTTGAGTGGATCAACCCCAAGAGAAGACTCTGAGACCCAGTGGAGAACACCCTGCATAATATTTAAAAAGCAAAATGAATTTAAAAACAAAAAAGCAATAAAATTTTACTATTGTAGAAGACACATTCTTAATTAAAGAATAACTAAATCAAGTATGCCAAATGACCTTTGGTTTTGTCTTCTTGGAAGGATCATACTCAGCTCGAATCTCAAGAACAGTCTCTTTGTCATCCCCAAAGATAACTTCTGTGCACTTGATAGGGAATGCGTACCTGCAAGCAAGTAAATGAATCTCAATTCTGAGCTCACATCTGATAGGCACTAAGGCAAACAAATTGCAACGCATACATACCTGAGTAGGACAGATTTACCAGGAGCAAGCCCATAGTAATCTTTTGAATCTTTCAACCGAAAGTCAGTGTTTTCGATATACACAACTTTAGAGAAAGGGACCTAAAATGAAATGGGTAAAAATCAGTTAAAGATTGACACATCCAAATCTACACCAACATTTGGCATAGAATTGTCAGAGATCTAAAAGAGTAAACTAAGAATCAGTATCACTTCTTCAAAAAATTATAAAAATAATTTTAGCTTAGAAATGCTTACTGACTTTGTAGAAAGAAGATGCATCATCTATCTGAGCATCAGGCCATCTTTTTGCATCAAGATCCATCACTGAGCCAGCTTCAAGGTTTGTAATAACAACCTAAACAAAGAAACCGTCAATCAAACACCTTAAAATAGTTCTGAAAGAAACAATTAAACAAGATACACACCTTGAGTGGATCAAGCACAACCATTGTGCGAGGTGCTGTTTTGTTCAATTCTTCTCTTATATGATACTCAAGGCGGTTCAAATGTATTATGCTACAATCACTGTAGCACAAGGTATCATTAGTTCAATCATATAGTATACATAAAAATATTTTCTGTAACATTTAAAGTATGCACAAATACTTCATGTATATTTCTCCACCTTCTAGTAATTCCGATTCCTCGAACAAAAGCATTAATTGAGGTTGAAGTAACTCCTCTACGTCGTAACCCAGCTAATGTCATCAGACGAGGATCATCCCAACCATCAACCCACTTTTGTGTCACAAGACGATTCAACTGTTACAACATAGCATGGTCAAAGATAAATTTGGGATAAAATATCAGAAGGGTTGAAGGGGCAGAAGTTCCAGTTGTTGCATACAAACATGTTTGGTACTTCAACACACCTTACGCTTTGACATCACTGTGTTGGTGATATTCAAGCGCGAGTATTCCCATACATAAGGTTGGTAAAGACCCAGTGCATCCAATAACCAGTAGTATGAAGCCCGGCGTGTTTCAAACTCGAGTGTACAAAGCTGCAGAAATATAACTTAATTAAAGAACCGCAAATTGGAGACACCAATTAATGGACAAAGACATTAACATATTGTCAAAAACACAAATCAGGTGGAAAGAGCTTAAAGCATATGAGAAGATAAAGTTCGAATAGACTCACAATTGAACTAAAATATGTAATGGAAAACCAAGGTTTCCTAGAAACATAACAATAATAGTTCATGCTATTCTTAGGCCTGAACCACCCTCACCCCAAAGAGAATTTTTTTTTTTTTTTTTTGATAAGTAAAAATAATATAAGAACAGGCGTTCAAAAGGGGAACGCGTCCCAATTACAAGAGTGGGACCAGGACTAAGGCCCCAACGAATCCAAGAAAGTAATTAAATCGTCCGAAGAAGAACAAAAACTTCTCTTCACATAATTGAAAAGAGAGCGAAGAATGTAAAGTTTGACCATTGCCATAGGCGACTCTTTCCCTTCGAACATTCTGCTATTTCTCTCCTTCCAGATGCACCACCATACACAATGAGATACAATTCTCCAGAAATCGCAGACATCTCTTCTCACCCGACATCCTCTCCAAACATGAATTAATTCCTTAATAAATTGTGGCATAACCCAACACATGCCAAACAACCCAACAAGAAGATTCCAACAATTGGTCGCTAGAGGGCAATGCAAAAGGAGGTGATCAACGGACTCTTCAGTATCCTTGCATAGACAACACCGATTAACAATATAATTACCCCTTTTTCTCAAGTTATCAACTGTCAAAATCTTTCCCCTCATAGTAGTCCAAACAAAGAAAGCCACTCTAGTTGGAGCCATAGACCGCCAAATAGTTTTCCATGGGAATTCTCGATTAACAAAATTAGACAAACATAAGAACAAGGATCTAACTTCAAAACGACCGTGGGAAGAAGGAACCCAAATCAAAACATCATTATCTCTACCAACGCCCTCCTGCCGACTATGTTACCCGGATTCGGGTACGGGTGTCGGACACGGGTGCGTGTCTAGGGGTCGGATTCGTCAATCTATCAATTTACAGGATACGTGGACACGGCTCAAAAGTGTCTAAATATTGGAGACGGGTACTTGGACACTTTGGAAAGTTAAAAAAAAAATTGGAATATTTTTTATGTTTGAGACATCAATCATAAAACTAAAAAAATAAATATATCAATTGTAATTTTTTATAAACATTTTATAATTATTACTACCATTTGTTTGCCTCATTTGATTGGTGGCATGGCCATAGTCATGGATATGCATTCCCGTGTTACTATTTGATGGGAACCTGTAATCAGAAATTTTAAGGGCTCCTTTTGGGCAAGTTTGGGCTTGGGCTAAGATGCCTTTTAATTGTCATCTTAGTCTTGACCTTTGGGCCTATACAAGTCAAAGCACAATTAACAAGGAAGCCCAACTCAACAATATAAACAATATGTATATTAGTCATAACTCGTAATAAAGGTAAGTAATAGCTGTATACCACACACAGCTGTAGGTATTGCTTTCCAGCTGTAAGGCATTGAATTTTTTACTTTTATTAAAAAGCCCATTATTGTCTCTATCTTTTCAGATCCAAATAAATAGGTAAATAGGTGGCATCATCCTGGCCATTAAAGGTTGGGTATTAACAATTGCGTGAAACCACGCTCAGGTAGGTACTTGCAAAGTCAGCGCATGCGATTCCACAAACAAGAAGTCGTCTTCAACCTTTAGACCACCGATTCGAACCAGAGCGCCATTGTTGAACCAGGAAGCTTCGTATAGCTGCAGATCTATTAAATAAAACACGAAAAAAAATCCCTAATCCTTCACAAGCATCGAGTTACACATCCTTTTGTTTATTTTCGTCATCAGCCGTGTCCGGTTGAAGAACAGAGGGTCGGACACATATCCCATGTCGGTGTCCGTGTCGTGTCGTGTCGTGTCAACACGGACACTCTGGCCGTCGCCGGCGAGTCCAGGTAACACAGCCTGCCGATACAAGAGATCCAGAAAAACATATACCTCGTCCATCTCCCAGTCCTGAAGAGAGCGCTGAAAATGCACATCCCACGTAATCCCACTACTATCAAGCCGATAACAATCAACTACGTAGGCGTGTTTATCAACAGCAATACTGAATAATCTAGGAAATGTACGAGAAAGTGGCTGATCTCCACACCAAAGATCATCCCAAAACCGAATACGACGACCATCACGGAGTTTGAATCTAATATGGGCAGAAAAAGCATCCCATCTCTTCCAAATAGCTTTCCACATCCCGACTCCTCCCGCGAGGGTAACTAGACGTGTAGACCAACCTCCAGCCTCATCCCCAAACCGACAAGATACTAGCCTGCGCCATGGACGATGTCTTTCCCTCCCATATCTCCATAACCATTTACCCAAGAGAGCTTGATTGAAAGGAACTAAACGTCTTATTCCAAGTCCACCCAATTTCACAGGCTTACAAACTTCCTCCCATTTGACAAGGTGGTACTTGAATTCATCGCCCTTTCCTCCCCATAGGAAATCCCTTTGAATTTTTTCAATCCTATCTGCAACGGAACAAGGAATTTGGAACATAGAAAGAAAATAAGTGGGAAGGCTCGATAACGTACTTTTGATAAGAGTAACTTTACCCCCCTTTGACAAGTATTGCTTCTTCCAACCTGCCAATCTTTTCGCATACCTATCAATTACGGAATCCCAACTCCCCACTAACCTTGAAGAAACCCCTAGGGGTAAGCCCAAATAAGGAATAGGGAAAGAACTCACTCTGCATCCAAGGACTGCAGCTAAAGAGGAAATGTCCTGAACATTCCCTACTGAGACAAGCTCACTCTTAGCCACATTGACCTTAAGCCCGGAAACTGCCTAAAAGCAAGTCAAGATACACGTCAAGTATCGAAGTTGAGACACATCAGCATCACATAAAATCAGGGTATCATCAGCAAAGAGTAAATGAGAAATCTCCATCTCATGGTCTAAATCTCTGCCCACCTTGAAACCTTTTATAAAACCAAGGTCTTCTGCCCTGCGCATAAGTCTGCTTGAGCCCTCCATAACAAGAAGAAAAAGGAAAGATGACAAAGGGTCACCTTGTCTTATACCCCGAGAGCAACCAAAGAAACCAGTGGGAGAACCATTCACAAGAACTGAAACTTGACAGACGAAAGACAAGTCTCAATCCACTTCCTCCATTTACTTCCAAACCCCATTCTTTGTAACAAATAGAGTAGGAAATTCCAAAGAGAGAATTTGATAGAGTGGCAAGTACTTGGATTCAACTAACCCTGATACAACAAAGGTTCTTATATAGATGCAATGGCCAAAAGATTAGGTTTATAAATCTCCACTCTCAATGAGGCTATTTTGGATCTTCGATTTTTGCATTTCTTACGAATGAGGGTATTACGTGTCTTGAATGGCATATTAATAAATTGGGCTTATTTTCTGATTCAAGAACAAAATTTATTATCAAGAAAGGAAAAAAAAAAAAAAAAAAGGTCTTCTTGAATTATTAGGTATGTTCAAGACATGAAACAACCCTCAACATGAAAGGTGTCTAGTTTCAATACCATGCATCCAAAGTCTAAGAAAACTTGAGGACTCCAATATCTATTCAATTTTTAAAGTTCCGTATTACTTATTTAAAAAAAAAAAAAAAAAAAAGGTCTTCTTGAATATTTGGTATGTTCAAGACATGAAACAACCCTCAACACGAAAGGTGTCTAGTTCCAACACCATGCATCCAAAGTCTTGAGAAAACTTGAGGACTCTAATATATATTCAATTTTTAAAGTTCCATATTGTATAAAACACTAAGATTTCTACACTACTTAAAATGAAGTCCAGAAGACAATAATGGGCCTAAATTCCAAAAAATAAGTTCAAAGCTAATACAAAAGCCCTAACAGTGAAGTCACGTCAAAAATTTCCAAATTTGGCTGAAAAAACATATAATAATTGCGCGACACAAATCAAAATTAGCAACAAAAGCAAATATATATATATATATATATATGCAAGTCTTTCAAAAGTTCAGTGTTATAGGATTAAACTCAACAGCAATATGCTCTTCAGATATACAAGATGAGACTTCAATAAAAGCCAACAAACAAACATCAAAATTTCATTACAAGAACTTCAAATAATAAAAGAACACCAATAAAGGCAAGGACACATACCGAATGGGTAATGTTTTCAAGAGAATCCACAATGCAATGAGAATAATCATAACTAGGGTATATACACCACTTATCTCCGGCATGTGGATGGGGAGTAAACTGGACATCAGAAAGTCAAACCACAGATATATGAGAAACTTCATTGAGTCTAAGTAATAATAGATTTTTTCCTTAAAGCACACATATTGAATGTTGGCTACTTGCCTTGATACGATATGCAATGAGATCATACATATTGAAATTATCACTCTGCATGTCCTGCTTCATTCTGAGGGTTGCTTTGCCTTCATCAATCATGCCTCGTTTCATATCATTGAACAGTTTCAATGAGTCTGCAATTGGTCTATTCCTCCAAGGACTGTTCATCTTTTTCTCCCTATACTCCTTTATCTCTTCAGGTGTCTAGATTTGATACCAAATGTCAATCACATGATAGTGTCTAGTTTATTAATAAACGGCAACCAGGCTAATTCTAGATAAAAATCAATACTTTCATCAGTGTAAAAGGTGGACAAATAGAAAAACTCCAGAACCTAATTAATCAAGTCATACATTTATCAGCAAGGTTCTTAATTCTTTTGCCACATTAGCTTCCATATTTAATAAGATCTTTTAGATATATTAACACTTGTGACCATATTGAACCTACATGTTACCAATTTTTTAAGCAGTCTATGATCCTTCAGACTTTACTGTGTACGAAGTTATCCCAAAAGTGAAAGATGGACAAGAATTTGGGGACGGAGGGAGTATTTAATAATTAAAAAAATGCTTCCATCCTTTTTTTAACTAATGATTCTTTCTCCCCTCCTTCATTCAATTTTGGATGAAAACAAAATGGTAGATTTTTTTGGTAAGTTCTTATTGGTCTTGTTGGTAGTTTGCTAACACGTTTTTTTTTTTCCCTCATATTTTGCTAACATGTTTGGTACAATCAAGCCTTACCAAATAAATGAGAGTTGAAAAGATATACAATTGGGCTCAAGAAACAGTACTGTGGGATGATGTTATTAGCAAAAGGTAAGGGTAGAGGAGGAAGAAAGACGGAAAGAAAGAAGGAAAGAATAAAATATATAAAAATGAAAGAACAGCAATTAGGAATTAGAAACAGATCAAGGTCAAACATGTAAACTTGTATAAACAAAGTAAAATTTCGACACAATTGATATTTATAATATGTCGAGAAGACACCTGATGATCAACATAAGCATGACCCCTTCGTATCAGCTCCACTGCTAGATCATAAAGATCTTGGAAATAATCACTGGTGTAAGTGATCTGCAAAATTACAACAGATATCAAACTTCGCTCTCGCATAAAAAATGCTATTAAATTGGACAAAAAGCATACCTTGAAAGGTTCCCAGCCCATCCAATTTACAATTTCTTCAATATGATCTATATACTCTTTCTTTTCAGCTTCAGGATTAGTATCATCATACCTACAGTGCCACAATAGACCAATATACTAATTAAGAAAACAGCAGGTACAATAATTTTCCTTGGGCTTTTTTAGTTGATAATGAGCAGCACAATATATTAAATGTTTTTCAGTACCTAGTTTGAAAACAGAACCCTTTTAGAGTAAAAAAGCTAAGTAATATTAATCAATCTCATGCTTAGCACATCTATACATAATATTCCTTTTTTTGTTGAATCACATCAATCAGGTCTCATTTTTTTTTTATAAACATATTTAAGAATATGAATTCTTTTTTGCTCTCGTGGAGCACTGACCACAAAAACAAACCAATATCGCACATTATGTTACTCTTGATGTTAGGTTCAACTTTTGGGCTTCATGATTGTTGAAGAAAGTATTTGTTTTGTAGGGAATTAAGATCTGTACAACTACGACTCTATAATTAGTAGTGGTAGTTTTGCAGCCTGTTCCGTAGGGAGGGAAAGAGGAAGGATTGAAAAGGGGGAGGGACTGAAAGCTTTTCCTTCATTTCATAGAGGAGAGGGAAAGGAAAGGGAGTAGGAAAGTCCTTTGGCTCTTAGCTCACCATATCCCTTCGAGGAAAGTAGGGAAAAAGCTTCCCCACGGTTTTTACACTTTAAACCCTCTGGTACATGCCAAAAAGTATTTGGTTTTTGAGAATACTCAGAGACCACTCACAAAATAGAAAATAAAAAAGAAGAAAGACAAGAGCTAGAAAAAGAAAATAAATAGACATCAAACGAATCAAATAAGTTAATAAGACCATAATCACCTCAGATAGCAACATCCACCTCTTTCTTTTGCAAGGCCAAAGTCAACGAACATAGCCTACACAATTCAATAGGTTATCAAATGAAGAGCGAGAACTACAATTCCCAGATAGAATAGTGAACAAAACTCTTAACAGGAGATATGAATAACCTTGGCATGACCAATATGTAGATATCCATTTGGTTCTGGTGGAAAGCGGGTAAAAACTTTTCCTCCTGTCACATTCAAATGTTTTTCAAGTATTTCCCTTGAATTGCAAGCTCTCAGCACAGGGCGATCACTGAAAAATATCTCAGTATGCACCTAAAGATCCACAAGATTGTTACGCACTTTAAATTACTTTACAAATAACAGCAGGCAAGATGAAAAGGAGTTAAAGATTCCATGTTGAAAAGATGTAGGCTTCTTAAATACAATAGGTTAAAAATCAATAATGTGGCAAATAGATGATAATGATCCTAGAAATAACATAGTAGGGCATTGGGAATCATAATGCCGCGGCTATAAAAATTAGTTTAAAGCCCAGACACCAGAATACCAACAAGTAAGGCAATCACTAGAAGGTTTTTTAATGTATAACCCCCAGTAAAAAGTCAACCCAATGCCACGGCGATGTTAAATGCTTGCATAGAAAATATTAAAAACACTTGACCAAAAAAAATAATAAAATAAATATAAGATTGTTGCATTAATCAAAATGTCAACATCACAATAATCTGGGCAAGCATTATATCTTTATACCATTTTAACTATTACATATTCGTAAATTCTTAAAACAGTCTTTATATACAGTGAAGAAAGTAAAGTTTTGAAGTTTAAGTTGGCAAGCAAGAAGATTAAGACTGGGTTGTAAACAAATGAAGATCAAAATAAGGAGTTGAATACCTTCAAATTCTCTTCTGGGGAAGGGAATATCAAAAATGGATTAAGTTCTTCTTCAGATGGTTTCTGTGGAGTATCCACAACAGGAGTTTGATCCTACATAGTAAAGAGGCAAAGAAGAGAAAAAAACAGAAAAAAATTAACTCGTCTCTTAAGCAATGAACACAGAGAATAGTTTAGACTCTAGAGGCATGCAGTGGAGCTCACCTCTACTTTAACAGGCTTCTCTTTCTTCTTCTTAATAGGCTTTTCATCATCTGCTGCCGTCCTTTCACCAAGCAATGCATATAATTTTGTATCTATGAGTTGCTGTAGAAAAAATGACATGGGCAGCAAAGAAGAGTAAACAAACAACTAAAAGAAAAAATAAATAAACCTCAGAACTAATTTCATCAATTGATTAAATAGTGCATGCTATTACCTTGACAATCTTTGGATCAGCCCATGGCTGCAGCATCCGCACACGAGCAAATAGTTCACCAACTACACAGGAAAATAACCGAATTGTCACATTTCAATTGTTTACCAAAATGTGGGTATGAATGCAGGGAAATAAAAAAAAAACTCATAATGGAAATATTTCCATTCTGATCAAATCATCCAAGAGGTAGAGAAATATTCTTAAGTATAAGATACACTCGTAATAGTTGGATACAATGGGTGGTAATCAATCTATTTGAGCTAGGAGTATAGCAAGGTTTCAATTAATGGATGTTAGGTAGCAACTTCAAATAACAAAATTTTCAGGCCTCAATCCTGTTATGTGCTGATATGTTGCTACTAACACAAGTCACAACATAACAGATGTAACGGCCTTATCAAGATGTAAATTATGCAGCTCTTTTTCAAACATGTTCTAATTTTTCTTTGATTTTAAGCTTTGAGATGCTGCCAGATCTGATGTAATTATAGATCTTCCCTCCGAGGCAACAAATTCGTAGGATATGACTTTTCATCTTGACCAAACTATTAAATATTCCACTTTTTTGGTATCCCACTATTATGAATAGATGTAGATTAAACCATCAACTCGAACCTAAACATCTTGTTTGAAGTTATATTACCAAAGAAAGAAAGAAAGAAAAAGATTAATGCTGTGATCACCAATAATTGAGGGCGCCGGGAGGAGAGGACTGGAAACAGACCTACCCTTTGGCATCATAAAGTAATAGCTACCAAGATTTCAAACCCTCGTTCTCACACTTAATAGCCCAAGCATTTTACAAAAATAATTAGCAAATCCAACATTAATTGTTCCAAACTAGATATCTATAAATCTAATTTTCCTTTCATTTTGTACTAATATTGAGAATTTTTTTTTATTTAAACAGGCTTTTAAGTTTTATAACTTTGCATCTTTTTTATTGCATTGTGATAATAAAAGTTGTGAAAGAAAAAATAGCATCATTTCTCCACCAGTGAAAAGATACTAATCAAAGCCTAACTCAAGAATGTAAAGTGATGTACCACAACAATATTAAAGAGAAATTAGGAATACCCTTCTACATTAACAGGTCAAGCAATTTCACATTTTCAGAAGTTTGTTTAAAACTGAAGTTTATAAGCTTAAAGAGCTATGGTAACCATATACAAATATTAGATCAAAAAATATAACTATAACTGAAAGCAATATGATGGAGATATTTAGTGATTTCGATAAAATATTGTAGAGGATAAAATAAATAGTGAAGAAAAAAATAAAAACTAGGGAAAAAAAGGGAATATGGTGGACATGTGAAGAAAAATATTGAGAGAATCACCTGAGGATCAAATGACCCACAAGTACCCCAACTTCTAGAATTGATTGAACAAGAGGATCATGCGGGTGAGAACCTTGTTGACTTAATTGAGGAGTTGGACTTAAAAAGCATTGGCACGTAGTCTTTATATTAGAGACTTGTTCTAAAGACTTGCAATTGAACAATATCTTGAGGTTATGTGTTTTCGCTTAAATATGTAACATAAAAAGAAAAAAGCATAACAATCAAAAGTATGAAAACTATTGAGTTATTTTGCTTAAACCTTGGATTTCCCTCATTTTTTACTATAAATAATTAAAATTGACCATCAAATTAGACAATATCTTTTTTTATGTATGCTCCAAACATCTAAACAAGTGCATAATCACATTAAAAATAAAAATTGAACCGGACTTAAGTATGTGTTATTCTTTTCTTTTCTTGCCTTTCTTTCTCTCCTTTCCCTTTTTTTTTTTTTTTTCAGGGTGGGGTTGGGTTGGGTTGGGGAAAGGGAAAGAAAGCAAATACAGCAATTAATTGAGAGCAGCACTGCAACACTGAGTTGTCAACAAGCCAATATGTATTTGTATGTATTTGCAGCTGGAGTGTGGCAAAAACATGGGGATAAAGGAGGACCAATAACAAAAAAAGGAAATCTTCATATCAATATCACTAATACTATGATTCATATTACCATAACATGACAATGGGAACAATCCAATGTGGAACCGATGATTATATATATACATATATGTATGTAAATGAGTAAGAAGTAACCCCGTAAGAGTTATAGCAAAGAAAAGCAAACCATTCGTTCTATAGCGTTGCTCCAGAATTGCGTTCTTCCTCTGTTCAAATATCTCATTAACAGTGAGCTCTATATCTTCAGCAGAGACTTCAACTCCTGTGTTAAAATGTAGTTTAGTTTCTAGAATTATATGTATGGCAACTAGAACAACAGGAAAAAAAAATGTCCCCAAACAAACTGATCAAGGTCAATCAAAGAAAAATGACCCCAGAAACCAAAAGAACACAAGCTAAACCTCTTTGTTTGAACTTTCACAAATTAATTCAAAAGTAGAAGCACAATAAAATAAATAAATAATCTGAGAAAGACGTCCAAAAGTAAAAGTTTATAACCATTTATAATAACTCAAAAGAGATGATAATTTGGTCATACCAACACCACAAGCCTCTTCAAATTCATTGATCCTATAATTCTCGGAACCAGTAGTTGCAAAAAATGAAAATGCAGCTTCTAACTGGGCTGGAGTTTTTATCTGCATGAATAACCATGTATGAATACCAGAAAACCCCAAAGCTTTCAAAAAATCTAGTTCAAGCTTCCCAGGACACAGTATGTGTTGTAACAGAATTATGAAACTAATGTCCACAAGAGAAATACATAATTAAATAGAGACTGCTCAGTATATCAAAAATTCAGAGATAGCATTCAAGACCTTTGATGAGACAATATATTGCAGTAACACTGGGCGATGCACAAGGGCATTTGCCGGAAACTTTGTTGCAACCTGACATGCACAAGGAAAGCACTCTTGTCACGTACTAGCATGAAGAAAATATACAAGCTTTGTTTCTTTCACAAGAAATTGCTTCCAATATATATATATATATATACAAACACACACTTTTTCAGTAAAATATCAACTAGCAAGTGTAAAGAGTAAATTTTTTCGTAAAGACATGAAAGTGTTCCTCTTGAGCATGCATCATACTTGGGCATCCTTCAAGAAAAGGACAGAATCAAGCAAAAGTTATTCACTTTGCAGCGAAGCCTTATAAATTCATCTTTTTTGAGGAAAATTATTTAGGGATTATAATTTATGTAAACGAGTTAACACGAAACATGTAACTGCATATTAGCTTACTGTGTAAAGAAGATTTCCAATAGACCGGTCGCATCCATCAGTTACAGCTGCCTGAAAAGAAAAATAAATAAAATACTCAAACAAGTGATAAAAAAGCCATATATCCAAACAAATAACACAAATGAGAAAGAAAAAAAATAACAAAAAGGAGAACAAAAAATTTGGTCACAAACTATATCAAAAGAAAAGTGAGTTACAAATTTCTGATTCTTAAATTTAAATTCTTTTCCATAAATGAAAACCCTGAACTCAACTGAGCTAATACAGCCCCCAGATCAACAAGAAACACAATCTCAGGTATTTCAACATAAACTACAAATTTAGAGCTAAAGAATAACAACAAGAGACGGGTTATCAATTCCAAATGTGAATGATTATTCTTTGAGGTAGCTTTTGTCCCTGCTTCTTTAAGGTTACAATTTTATTTAGATATGGCAGCCTCGTGATACATATATGCTGCAAATAAATCAAAATTAAATGTTATCCCCTTTCTTTTTCCTTCTTTCTTGGTGCTGTATTCATGTTTTCAGGTTAATTAGCTGAATCAGAAATCCCCAATTTTTCTCGGCAGACCGAGCAAAATTAACAACTGTGATCATTCCCAACAAACACATATATGCATATCCATAAACTGCAGGTGAAGCTGGATTACCTCGTGAATGACGGCTGTTAGATTTGCGGTGACCTTGTTGTTCGCGACAGTGTTCTTCGCAGTACGCTCGTCCAAACCGATCTTCAGGAACAGCTCAAGAGGCTTTTCGCTGTTCTCGTCCTTCACCACCATTTTTGATCTTCTTCAAAAACCCTAGGAAGGTTTAGTGAGTTCAGGAGATGATAAATAAAACCCTAATATAGCTTGGGTACAAAGCAATATAGTATATATATATTATGTGTATTGCAGTTGAAGAATCTGTTGAATTGTGAGCGTTAGGAGATGGGAAGATTCTTAAACGGAAGGTTCGTTTATTAGGACATCGATTTGATCGGAAACGAGAGGGTCATATTTGGAATCCCTCTGAGATTTTCTCTCATCGGAAGATCTTTCCTTCCCTATTGAGCCAATGAGCCACGACCAGTGTGTTGCAACTTGCAGCCCAGTCATGTGATTGGGCCGATGGTCAACTTCTGGTTTGGGCCTAAGGGTCAACTTTTGGCTTTTGAAACTCTCAGTTGGCGGCCCAGTAAGCTCGGCTGTATTTTTTTATTTGCCAAAAAGGATGAAACAGAGCTGTTCAAGTTGATGCTTCAAAGTAGATGGCGGAGGGTTTCAGTTTTTAAAGAAATGAAGTGGGTGTATGGATGGCGTGCATTTCTAAATAATAGTTAAAAAAATTTCCTCCAGCTCAAAAGTCAACACATGCTCAATAATGAATGTTTTATTATATTTTCAAGGTAAAGTGCATTAAACCTTCCTTAACTATTGAGGTATGTGCAAGAAACCCTCTGAATTATAAAAGTTGCAAAAATTTTTCCTGAATTATTGGGGTATGTGCAAAAAAACCTCATGAACTATATATTTTTTTGCAGTTTACCCCATCCACGTGAATTGATTGACTGAAATGGATGATGAAGCCGAGGAATTTGTTGCTGGGATCGGTGGGTCTCCTGTCATAGCTCCATCATAGCCGTTGCATCACCCGCCAGATTCGTCGGCCATATATATCGCACTTCTCTGCACCGTTGCATCAGCCTATCGCCGTCACTGCCTTGCCCGCCGTTCAGCTCACCTTGCTCGCCGGTCCATTCCACCTTCCATTCCAATCTCGCCGGCCCATTCCGCCATCTCTATAGCCGAACACACCGCCGTCCTTGAGACCAAGCCATCCCGCCGACCTCGGATTTCTTTGGTCTCTTCTCTCTCATTTTAGCTCTCAGTTTTTGGTTGTGTTGGGTGAAAAACATCTTTTGGCAGGAAAAAAAAATAATAAGAAGTGTATAAATTAAAACGACACAGTGTACGTGTTATAAGGGTAAACTAATCTTTCAAAATTTCGGTATAGGAAGCTGATGTCATGGGGGTAAATTGCAACAAAATCATAATTTATGGGGGATGGTCTCTTCTCTCTCATTTTAGCTCTCAGTTTTTGGTTGTGTTGGGTGAAAAACATCTTTTGGCAGGAAAAAAAAATAATAAGAAGTGTATAAATTAAAACCACACAGTGTACGTGTTATAAGGGTAAACTAATCTTTCAAAATTTCGGTATAGGAAGCTGATGTCATGGGGGTAAATTGCAACAAAATCATAATTTATGGGGGATTTTTGTAGTTCAGGGAGGTTTCTTGCAAATGACCAATAGTTCAAGGGGGTAAATTGCAACAAAATTATAGTTCAGGGTTTTTTTTGTAGTTCAGAGAGATTTCTTACAAAATGACCAATAATTCAAGGGGGTTTAATGCACTTTACCCTATTTTCAATTAATATTCATAAAATAACGGAATTAGTATGTTTTTGTTCGTGGTAGTTAATACTAAGATATTATCATTTTATACACAGGAAAACTCTTGCAGTTACGTTGTATGCCTTAGAATTTTACCGCTTTGACCTAGAATTATCCCCTCTAATTTTTACTAAATTACAATATAGTATTTATTATTATACACTAAAATGGGATTGGGACCACTTTCCTTTTTTCTTTCGTTTTGAATATCTTATTTTCATTTTCATTTTTGCGTGGTAATCAAGAAAAGAAAAGGCTTCAGTCAATTTTTTTCCTTTGGTCCACTTTTGGACTGGCTCAATCTTATTTTAAAAGAAAAACTTCCGTCAATATTTCGTGGGACAACAAGCATGAAGTAATAAATTAAAGTTTTTTTTGAAAAAAAGTATACAAATTAATATGTATATTTTGAACACAATTTTATAACTATGAGTTTGCAAGGGCTATTGTCGGATTGAGTTGCTCTCATGTCTAAAGTTCCATAGACCTGTAAACGGATCGAATTCGGACCGGATCAAACTTGATCCGATTTGAATTCAATAAACATTTTAGTCAATCCGATCCGATAATTCCACGGATATTTTGTAAGTCAATTCGAACCCGATTTTGATAATAAACGGATATCCGATCCGATAATTTGATCCGATAAAATGTTTATTAATATATATATATATAAATTAATATCAAAAGAGAATTAAAAAAACAATGATTATAAAAAAAGATATAAAATAAAAGAGAAGTAAAATATGAAAGAAAAAGAAAAAAATATATATATTTACTCTTTGTTAATAATAAAGAGTATGATATTATTGGTATGTATATTAGGATATTTATTAGTATGTGAATGAGGACATCACACTATTATACGTATAACATTATTATTATTATTATTTATTTTTGGTTTTTTTAGGTTACCTCTAATATAAATATTGATAGGAGTATATATATATATATATATTTGTGTGTGTGTGTAAAATTATTAATAAATTATAATTTATTTATATATATATATATATATATATATATATATATATATTTATTCGGATCGAATCGGATCAGCATAATTTATATTGGATTTATTAAATTAACGGATTATCAGATTCGAATCGAAATCGAGTTATCGAATTTTTTATTCAATCCATATCTGATTAGTCGGATATGAATTGAATTCAGATTAAAATCCTCTCAGTTGACGGTTCTACTTACATCTCCCCATTCCTATTAACCCGTTACTTGCCATTAGCTATGATTATTTATTTCATCCCTTCTAAGTTGAAACAGCTCTATGTCCATCTAACTATCAGTCCAGCCCAACTATGTTAATTTATTTCAGCCCTTTTAAAATAAAACAGCCCTTGCCCATGCCCATGCCCATCTGAATAGCCATAGCCCATTTTGCAACTATGAACCGATCACATGACCTAACTGGACATTCCCAAGCAAGCAAAACGGGCAACGACGATCACTACCCACGGCACAAACACTAATCGTTAACCACCGTCCGGTGACCAAAACGCCGACAATATTTCTTCACGATTGTAAGCAATTGATTTCCGTTTAGGTTACTATGTATCTCTTCATTTTTACCCTCCGTTTTCGCAAAATTTCTCTCATCTCTCTTCCCTCTGCTCATATATATGTGTGTACACACATTGTACGCTTTGATTTCCATGTAAATTACTGTACATCTCCTCATTTTTCTTTGTTTTGGAAAATTTCTCTCTCATCTCTCTCTCCGCTTAACTGCTCTTATATATGTATATGGATATGGTCGTAAACGAGCAATCGAGCCGAGCTCGATTATGTTCTAATATTATCAAACCGAGCTCGATCATTTCTTGGCAGAGCTTGGCCGAACACGAACCGAGCTCGGACACTCCCTTGTGCTCAGCTCGTTTACAGCCCTAGGTCTGATAAGAAGATTGGTAACGTGCTAGGGTTTGGTGACTGGTACAACACCTTCCTCTTCCCCTATTGAATGTATTTAAGCTATTGTGTACCGTACGTGCTATGATTGTATAATGTTGTTCATTGAAAAGAGGAGGCTGTTGGAAGCCATTTTGATTTGAGTAAATGCCCCTGCTTTGATTTTATTAATTTGCCTCTTTTTTTTTGTTTTTGTTTTTTTGAATTTTGATGATTAAAGACTCTTGTTATTTAATGCATTTGTAAAAATGTTTCTTTCAGATTTGCACCAAGATGTGTAGACGGTTGACTAAATCAGAGTTCTTGATTTTTAAATGGGGTAATTCTCTCTTCACCTTACCTTCCCTGTCTTCATTAATTGTGTTTCAATTTTTAGTACTAATGTAAATAATTTTGTTTTTGTTCATCAGTTTTTTTCTATCCGGTGATTGGTGTTCCTAGCTTTTTTGCCGGTATGCTAATATGTGACCAGTATGTTTCACTCTCTTCCTCAGATGTCAACTGACTAGTTGAGATTGCTTTCTATAATGATATATATATATATATATTTTCATCTATAGGTGCATGATTTAATTCAATGATATTGTTGCAACATTAATTCTACTTGGACTTCAATTTTTTTCTGCTTAGTTGAAAGCTTGTATTTGTAGTATTGGGTATAGTGTCTTATATCTTAATTTGTTTTGATTACAGGCAAGTTAAATTGGAGAATTGGATCAATGAACGGTTTGTCTTATTCTCTTGAGACTTGTATAAACCTTCATTATGTTGTGTTTAATTTTTCCTTATCGATTAGTCTCACCTTGTAATAAGTGGATAGTGGTAGATGAAACAATTACTTCATTTAATATTCATTCTCCTGATTTATCTTCAATCATTACAGTGATAGCATAAATTTATTTTCTAACTTCTCTTCAACATATATATATATATATATATGAACATATTCGGTACAGCGGCTTTAGTTTGGAAAAAAAAATATATATATAGAGAATGAAGAAAATGAAATGAAAGAGAAGAAATCAAAAGAATAGTAGAGTGTGGAAAATAGAGCTGAGCATATTATTGAATTTTTTCAATGTTATATCTAAGCTTTTAGGGAAATAATTAAGGTTATGCTTAGGTGAATGGTTTGAGAAATGAAGGAATTTGGATCTCAGATCCATATTGGGATGACTGACCCATTCAAATTGATTTGAGAGTTTAGATGGAAAGCAAGAGAGCATACTGTAGACGTCCATGAGATGTACTCTACAAATACTTAGTTGCAAAATTGATATTATACCTTGACTTCGCCATAAACCATTATTAATTCATTTTTCTCCTTGAAAAGCTTTATCCTCCCGCTCTACCAAATTGAGTTGAGAAATTGAATCTTATGTTTAATCTTGGTCATGTAATACTAACTTCCGGAGTTCCATCTTTTCTCAAACTTTTCGTGCTTTCTTTGTGTAGGTCTGTATTTTTCAAATATGTTCCCCAAATCCAGATACCACTCTTATGAATTGTCTGGCTTCCAGGGTAAAAGAAGTAATTTAGGAATTGTTATGTTGATAAAACTATGTTGGCGTTCTTTTTGTTAAAGCTTGTGCACCTTAAGGATTAGGAGATTACACTGCTTTCATTTAATAGTACGATAGAGTTCCATCATTTTGAGAATTTTTGTTGCTTCCTTTGTGGAGGTTTCTCCTAATTA